ACCATCTGCCAGGCCGTCTCAACCTGGTCCTGACGCCCTTTCCCGACTCGCCGCGACAACAGACGACGAGGCTCAGCGTGCCTTTCGGGAGGAACCCGTCCTCAATGCCTTCTGGGACAGAGATGCGATAGGTAACGGCATGCCGACACAGGACGTGGACACGGACCGTGTTCTTAACATAGCAGAGGCAGTCATGGATGGCAAAATAAGAAACGAGCTCATCCAGGCCTACGGACAAGATACAGTATATGGTCGGCTGATCCGAGAGCTCGCCACAGTCAATGGATGCAAGCCCCGAAAGGACAACGAGGGCGTCGTCAATGCTTCCAAGCCGGGCCATACCTTTAGAGTGGCAAACGGTCTTTTGTACAACAGAGACAGTGAGGGTACAGAGCGACTCGTTGTGCCCTTTGGCATGATCAAACCTTCCTGGCGGAAGCACACGACAACAAACACCACTTTGGCTGACAGCGCATAACTACAGGTCTAGATGGAGTCCACTTTAGAAATAAGAGGTCTGCCCCTTGCCAAGGCCACGGGCACGCCCTGGCAATACCGACACGAGGCACAACGCCCTCCTAACCATCACCTGCAAGACGAGCAAGCGGTCCATGATCATCCCGGGCCACGATACCTACTCGGCCTCGGACTGGGCCATGTCTTGACCCGCCAATTCCTCATGGCCGATTGGCCCTGCCCTCGCGCCATTATCTTCGATAGGGACCGGAAGTTCATTGGAAGCTTCTGACAAGGTCTGGCGGTCCTTCGGGACGAAATTAAATATGACCACGGCCTACCACCCCAGGCAGATGGTCAATCCGAACGCAAGAACCAATTGGTTGAACTCGCCATCCGTTTCCACGCGCAAGAACACTCACAGACGTGGGTCGATATCATTCCAGCTCTGCAGTGGGACCTCAACAATTCTCGGGTGTCATCCATCGACAGTGTCACGTGACGCACGGTCTTCCTGGTGACAGCTCCGCGTTCGCGGTGGCCCACGTCCTGGCCCTGTAGGCCTGGTCGTAACAATCCTGCGTGTGCTCGGCGGGGTATCATCTGTTAGGTGGGCTGAGCTCGCTAAAATGCGTTTGGTGCCGGGAGATTCACGACAAGGGGGCGTCACCAGAGCTTGTGATGCCCCGGAACTGTTGGTCATGCACCCTTTTAACCTTCCTTCGGTATCCACACCATCAAGTCCATGCAGCTACCAGCTGGCAAGATTTACGTCAAACCCCCTGGGCTTCAACTGCGGTGCATGGGGGCGCTCGCTGTCGGTGCCAGAGGCTTGCTCGTGAATGCCCAATTAGAACGCGACCACCAAGTGTAACGCGTTAGGCACCAGGTCGACTGTCGCGTTAGCACAAATAACATATACCTCCACCAGTCCTCCCACTCTCCGTTCCTGAACAATAGGGTGGCACTTTCGTTGCTTTAGCAAATACGAGCCTGTTGTGCGGCTGCATCGCCGCCGCCTCGCCGAGAGATTGGGAGGGCCTTATGGTAGACGGATGTGGATTTTGGCGCCGTTGTGTGCTAGTTTGATATGATAATGTAGATTTGAAAAAAGAAAAGCTGTACATTAAAGCCATTAAGCATTCACAATATTGATCACCCTCGCAGCTTGCCGCCAGTGGCTCACCCGGCGAAGGCTTAGCCCGCCGTCCCGGCCTCCTGCTCCTCCTGAGTGGGGAGCATTTCGAGCATGATCTTCCGTATTTCCCTCCTCAAAGCGGGCGCATCTACAGTGAAATCGGGTGACTTTCCGCCGAGGATGGCCTGAACGAAGCCGCCTGGATCCGCTAGCAGGGCTTCAACGTAAGAGATCAGGTACACGCCACAATCAAATTCGTTGGACTGCTGTGGGACCTTGCCAGCAGTAAATGTAAATGTAGGAGACATTCCAGCTCTCAGCTTCTTTTTATCCAAGAGCTCGCAGCGTAGGTACTTCTCCAAGCGCTCGCAATCCTGTTTGTGCTCTAAGCCAAGAGAATCGAGAGTAATGATTTTTAGTTCTTCCAGATTTGGGGGGATGCAGATTACCGCAACCCACCAGTGGTTGGCTTGGTTGATAGGGACAACGAGAAAGCGGTGCTTGAAAATGTCGACCCTGGACGTCCAACGTTTAACCCTGTCGTAGTTGATCAATTTGCCATTAGTGGACTTCAGCGCGCTGTAAAAGAACGAATCGAGAAAGTAGAAGCTATCCGCGGCATCCGTCCCTAGGGAGTGCAGGTATCGTAGATATGAGTAGATGATATTGTCGTTGAGGAACCGGCCTTCATCGAGGCGAGTAATGTCTCCTTGGTAGATCGTTGTTCTACGGCGCTTCTTGTCAGGGCCAGGGATCCAGCGGCCTAACGGAAGCGATGGAGGCATCTTTAGTTTGGGGTTAACGCTAAGTACAATATACCGTAATGCGGGAAGCAGGGCTTACTGGAGTAATATTCATTTCTATGTTCCTCTTCCCACGTGGTAGCTCTATGGCAAAACTGGCTACTTCGACGCCGTCGACATTGAGCTGGAACCGGATGTGATCATCGCTGACGAGCTGCTCGCTCTCGGTGGCCTTGCCTCGGGCGCCCTTCGCGGGGGGCGTCGCGGAGCTGGGGCGGCGCTCCTCGGACGCAGGCGGCCCTGCGGGCGAGGGCGTGCTCGCCCTGGCGGGGGTACCGGGGCCGCTCCTCCTGCTGGGGGTGGTGGCGGTGGTAGCCCTTGTCTTTTGGTCGCCTGTGCCGCCGCTCTCGCGGCCGTGCGTCGCGGGCGGCGCCTCTGAGCTGGCTGTTGCCGCGCCGCCGGGCGACACCCTAGTCCTCCTAGGCGGGCGGCCGCGGCCGCGGCCGGCGGTTGTGGGTTTGGTTGTGCTTGCGGGTGTGGTTGCGGTTGAGGTGTTGCTGGTTGATGCTGTTGTTGCGGCGGCGCTGCGACCCTGCTTCTCGGGCGTAAGCTGCCTGGTCAGGCCGTTTGTGCGCAGGTAATCGAGCACGAGCGTCTCGCTGGACCGGAGTATAACGTCAAGCGGCTCCCAACTGGCGGATCCGTCCGTGGGGTCGGCCGTGTAGCCGACCCAGTGTATTAATAGCTTGGGCACCTTGTCCGGCTTGTGGCCCAGGATCTGAAAGACGCGGTAAGTGGCGCACTTGATGGTGTCCTCGCGCGCTTGGTTGAACGAGCTCCAGTACTCTATCAGTTTTTTCTCGTTAATGCGTTGTATCCGCTCCTCGGGCACCTTTCGTTCCGTGTTGTCGGTCGAGCGCTTCGTCGTCAGCGTTACGGTGCTGTCCTTGCGGTTGATATCCCACCCCACGATGGTGTCTAAGCCGTCGTCGTAATCTGGTGCCTCCTCCTGGGAACCGGCTTGCGCGCCTGCGATGCGCGCACGCGAGTTAGCACAAACACTATAGGCCGTCACGAGGCAAAGTAATGTAACCTACCTGCTTCAGTTGGCTTCGCCATCATAGAGCCGACAACTTTACGGGCGAGCTCAGCTAGGACGACATCTTTCTCCTTGCCCCCGCTGGGATTGGATGGCTCCGGCACATCGGCCGAGTGTTTGCCGGGCTGACTGGCATCAGTGTCTAAGTCAATGACT